AAAAAAAAACCAAAAAAAGGTCATAAGCTACAGCATATCACAACATAAGTTTAAAACAACAAGCAAAAGGTAAAGGTTATTTATAAAATTGTTTGTCCACTTTAAGAGAACACCACTTCATTACGCTGCTGCAAACAATCAAATCGATGTTTTACGCTATTTGACTGATAAGAAAGCCGACGTTGAGGCGAAGGATAAAGACAGAGTAAGGTTCCTCAAAACAGTAGCAAATTTGTCACTATATCACCACTCAAACAGTCTGTAACAGATCTTGATCAATTAAAAATTAATAACTCAAGTGCACTACAGCTGAAAGCAAACATATTAATTTTATCAGCTGTTAGACAGAGCTTCGTGTGACAACAAATTCTCACTAAAATGGAATATGAATCAAGAGATAGCTGTTATTTAGATAAATGAAAAAGGCTTAATTGTAACTTAATTGTTGCGAAAAAAAGATAATGTATTTGTAAATTTATTCCACCTCTCTTTCAAAATTGTAAAAAATTTTTGATTGACAAAAGTGGCTTTAAAAAATTTTTTTGCTATTTTAGAGGACTGCGCTGCATTTCGCCTCTGAAAATGGCTTTTTTGAAGTAGTGATGTATCTGGTGAGCCTCGGGGTTGACATCGGTGCGAAAGACAAAGATGGGGTAAAGTTACCTTAGCAAAAATCTAACTTTTTCTTTGAACTTCTGTTAGTTTTGTTCTACTATCTACACTTTTCTCCTGCCTTTAAAAGTTGAAACAATTTTGCCTTTTTGTATCACAATGTTGAGAGAAAGAGAAAATCTTTTTTGCAGAAATTTACTTCAAACATTTAATATTATTATTATTTTTCAAAAGGAGAAAAAGCAACATAAAAAAGAGTTGATATTGGGCTATGAACAGTGCGGTGTCAAAACTTCGTGAAGTTGATTGCTCGATCAGTATCATTCTTTGTCAACGTAGGGCTAATGACAGTTTCGGAAACTTTGTCATTGACTGCTTTCAATTTTTTGGCAGAATTTATAGAAAACGCTCTCCGGTGCGTGCGCCAACTGCGAGATTTTTGAAATTTTTTCTTTCTTTAATTTATTTCATTTTTTCCTTCTTTCTTCTAAGTTTAAACTTTTTTAGTAGTCGCTATCAAACTTTTCAGCTGAACAGATCTGCTACTCAGCAAACCATTAATGAGCCGCAAAATAAAACAGAGATAGAGTAAAGTTTTGATTGTATGAGTTAATACTGGGTATTAATGTTCCATATAATTTTGTACAGTAATTATACAGCCGCGCTGTGGTAATCAAAAGGAGTCGATTGTTCAGGCAATTAACAGTCCGCAGCCTGTCACTGAGCTAACTGAAGACTCCTTATGCAAGTGCTCCTTTCCCCGTTACACTACCTAAGGGTTTTACTTGAAAATCTTAATTTACCTCACTGCAAGCATGATTTTATTTACTATCAGGTAGATTAAAGCAAAAATTTAAATGTTTTATAATTTATATTAAGAAACGTAAAAATTAAAAAAAACAGAGTATTCAACTGTTTTTTGTCATCTATATTCTTTCCTTTATCGTGTTTTTGGTACCAAAATGACTGTTTTAATTTATTAACTAAAAGCTTGATCACTTTTCTTTTTTAAAGCATATTTTTCGATTCAAATCTAATGACTCACACATTCAAATGAAATGGCAGGCATGAGCAAAGGGTCTATCTAAAAAAACTGCTTCTTAAACTTTTTTCAGACGACGCCTCTCCAAATTGCGATAAAAAAACAAAACTCGCAAGTTATCAGAATTTTACAGAGTACGTATAATTTTTTTGAAGAAAATTTTATAGTAGAAAAAAAGTAATCAAAAGAGAAAAAAAGTTTATTGTCTATTCTAAAAATTTGGTCAGTCTTGAAAACAAAGCCGCCATTTACAGCGGTAACATTCAGAAGTGTTCTAAGCATAACATGTGTCAAATTCTGCACAGGTTTTCTTTTTTCTTTACGTAATTTAATTCGCAGCAAATGTAAGCGGATTTATAGCCCTCAGTTTGCCATAAAGTACTGCTTTTTATTATAGGATCACAGAAAATAGATTTTAATCTTATCAGAAATCTGTCGAATATTGGTCATGGTAAGTCAGGCACGGTGTATAAAGGTGAACTGGATGGGCAAATAATTGCTTTGAAGTCGATATACAGTAATAAAAAGGCAGAAATAACCAAACTGTTTCATTTGGATCATCAAAACTTGATTAAATTTATGTCAGCACCACGTATCAACATATCTTTAATTTGATTCAATCAAAAAACTTTGAATTTTGTAGTTCATGTTTGAAAGTCTATTTTTGTTAAACACTTACCACTTTTTGCGTTAACACTTTCTAGAAAAAAAAAAAAGGAAAAATTGCAGCGGACTTTGCTCTGATGCACCATACTTTTTTGTTGTGATGGAATACTGCGCATACGGCTCGTTAAAGGAGACGATCTATGATACTCGGCGACACATCGAAGCAGGCTGTTTCTACAAGTGGAAAAAGGAAATTGCCGAAGGAGTTTACTATTTACACAGCAACCACTTGCTTCACTGTAACCTGAACCCTTCAAAGTATAGTTACTTCACAAGCTATAATTCAACTGTTAAATTTCTAATTTTTGTCTTTTCAGCATTCTTATTGATGACACAAATACAGTAAAAATTTCTGACATTTGTTCATCGTCGAACTTGAGAGAATTAAATATATCGGGAAGCTGCAGCATCACTCTAGGCGGGGCACCTGCTTATATGGCTCCTGAAGTGTTACTTACCTGCCATTACTCCAAAAAAGTTGGTTTTGCTTCTCAAAAGCTTGCTAGAGCGTTCAATTTTTGTTCCTAGCAATTTCCTAACTATGAAAGAAAATATTCAATTCTCTTTTAAGAAAAAACCTTTTTTTTTTTTGTTAATTCTTTATGTTTTTAAACTTTTATAAACAAAATTTTACTTTGAACAAAAAAAAAAGATAGCAAAAAGAACAGAATTTAATTTATTTTCAAGTCGAACATAAGTACAATTTTTCTTAAAATAATCGGTTACCTTAACTTGTAGTTTGTTTTACAAACAAATGCCTGCAAAATTTTCAGTTTTTTCAAAGAATCGTTTGTTTTTATTCTACCTCTCTGTTAAGTTTGGAGTGAGACCTGAGCTTACCCCTCATTTCGGCCTCGGTTATTGCCCTATCGCCGACCCACTAAAATTTTCTGCACAAAACTTTTTAAATTTTATTTTGCCAGAAATGTCAACTTTTTTGAGTTTTTTTATAAGCACAACTTCAGAAAATCTCTACATTTTGTTGTCAAAGGTTGGACTGTTTGAGTGAGATGATAACACATTTTTGACAGAAAAAATTGTCTTTTTCAAATTATAAATTTTCACCAACAGTTTTTTCTGTTTTTCAGTCTGATGTTTGGAGCTTCGGTGTAGTTATGTGGGAAATGTTAACAAGAGAATCACCGTATAAAAACTGCACAGCGATTAGAATTCTACTTGGAGTAACGTCAGGGTTGGTTTTCCAATAATAGTGTCTATAACATCCAGCTACAATAATGAAACCTCAACTCTTATTCTGTAATATGTAACTGGTAAATCTTTGCAGTAACCTAAGGCTTTCGGTTCCAGATCATCTACCTGGAGTAGTCAAAAATTTGCTGAAAAATTGTTTAAAGAAAGAAAAAGTAAAGCGACCAAACTTCTCTGAAATATTGCAAGATTTGTCTTTCTGGGAAGTACGTTTAAGGTTTTTTCTTGCTGACAAATGTCATCACGACATCACAATTATTTGAACATACTCAGCTTCATTTTTTTTATGTATAGTTTGAATTTTAGACTTAGTTGTCTTTCTAGACCCAGGATTTAAAACTTTGCAGAATAATCCCGAGTTTCAACAGTTCTTGAAAGACGAGAAGATGGAAACAAATTTTCAGAAGGAGATTGAGATTGATACGTCGAAAAACACTGATAGAGCTATTGGAAAAGAAAATCGGTTTCCTATAGAGAAGGTAAAGAGCTGTTTTTATCGATTCAGCACAACTTCAATAAATAATCTTATTTTAGAACTCTGTTTCAAAAATTGTACGACATTCATTTGCAGAAAGCGTTGACAGTAATAAATGTACGTTTTTTATAAATCTAATAGTTCTTTGATTCACAACTAAAAAAAAATATATTTTCCTAAATCGTATTTTTTTGAATTGAGTCATCTCTTATCATATAAATTTTTGCAAAAAGACGTTTAATTTACAGAACAAGGACTATAAATGACGTTCTTTCACTGTATAAATACATAATAACCAAAAATTTTTTGTGTATTACAATTTCATATCCAAATTTAAAAAAAAAAAAAAGAGTTTATTAAGTTTTACTATTGTTTGAAGATTCTATATTGCACCTAAAAACACAACTGTTTAGTTGTATCGAAAGTTTCATATGAATCTTTCTCGCTCTCTGTCATTATTGGCAGAGGTGCTGAAGGTGAAGTGTATAAAGGCAAATTTGGAAACGAGGATATTGCGATCAAACAGATACCAATAAAGAAAAACATAACAAATTTTAGTGTATTCAAATTGGACCACAAAAATGTGATTAAGTATCTGTCAGTATTAATTTGTTAGCACAGTCTGTAGTATTTTATTAAGTGCAAAAAAATAATAATAATAACAATTTTATTTTTGTCGTCTTTGATAAAAATTGTATCAACTGTAAAACAAATCTTTTTTCCTCTAGATCTGGTTAATATTCTTTTTTTTTATGTGCTTGTCTTTTTTTTAATACAAAAGCTTTTTGCAGTAATACCTGTACTCACGAAAGATTTTTTTATATTTTAATGGAATATTGTGAAAAAGGATCACTGAATGATCTGATATACAGTGATAGACTGTATTCAAAACAGAACTTCTGCCAATGGTTTCAACAGATTGCAGATGGAATGAATTTTCTACACCAACGTGGAATACCGCATGGCGACTTAAATCCTTCAAAGTAGAATTAACTTTGTAAATTTTTTTCTTACAAACTTGACTGCTGTGTCTTCTTACATATTAAAAATATTTAAGTGTACTTCTCACCAAAGAAAACGTGCTAAAAATTAGTGACTTTGGTATGTTTTGGATGTTGAATGAAGTAAGCAATAAGAAAACCACTTATTATGGTACACCTCGTTATATGGCACCCGAACGAGTTAAAAATGAAAATGCAACAAAAAAAGTAAATTTTTCTTTATTTCTGAGTTTTCGAAAATTTTAACATAACTTTTAAGACAGTATTGTCTCACGATTTATTTTCAGGCTGATGTTTGGAGTTTTAGTGTAACCGTTTGGGAAATTTTAACGAGGGAAATACCATACAAAGGCATTGGACCTTGTCAGGTCGTTTATGGTGTTTTTCTAGGGTATGTTACAACCAAATTAAAACTATATTATTTATTGTGTAGGTTTCAAATACACAATTCTTTCAGTTTGCTGAAATAAATAGAATAAAGAATTTTTACAGAAAACTAAGTCTTCCAATCCCGGATGGATTCCCTAAATGCGTGCAGAAACTGTTGAAAGTTTGCTGCAAAAAACCGAAACAACGACCTACTTTTGAAGAAATTATTGAAAGCTTTTGTAATGAGGTATATTTATTTTTTTTCGACGCAAAAGCTATCAAAAACTTTTTTATTTACGTTAAGGAACTTTACATACTTGCTGTCGTAAGTCTAACTCGTGCTGCACGGAAAACTTTTTTTTAATGAATATACTGTAGGTCAAAGCTGAAATTACTAAAATCTCATCAGAAGACTGGGCCAAACGTTTAGAAGAATGGAATAAATATGTCAAACATGAGCTTGAAAAGCTCGCTGCTACACCTTTCAGCAACGATTTAGACGAATCAAATGTATGTACTGCCAATTGAAGCTTTGATTAACACTAAAAGTTGCTTTTCTTGGTAAATTTTCTTTATAAACCTTTACCGCATAACTGATTAACAGGAAGAAATAAAAGTAAGAAATTTCCAACCAAAATTTTATTTATTTAATACTTGAAAGTTGCAAAAACTTACCGTAATTAAAATGATGTTATTTGTTCCGCTGTTACTGTATCTATTGCTTGCACAATTTATTTCAGAGAGTTTTGACAAATATCTTTAAAAGGTAATAGTGCTTACAGGTTAAAGTCTATAGATTATTTTATTTCACTTTTAAAATGCACAGTTTATAAGTGTTTTTCTGTTTTGACAATATAAATTCTCAAAATTTGTTATTGATAATAAACATTTAGGATGACTCAGTTATTGGTACAGATAAATAGGATCTACAAGAGATTGTCAAGGCAGAGTCCTTCTCGAGAAGCGATAAAAAAATAGCGTATGACGGGTTTATCAAAGAATAAAGTCAACTGAAGAAGGTGAAAGTATATGACTCTTGTTGATTACAAGTACCAGAACATGTGAAATAATATACTACTTGTAAACTTGAAATGTAAATTTCTATACTACATGTATTAGTATCATTCAGTATAAAAAATTTTTTTAACGCATGATTTAACAAAAAAGAAAGTAATTTCAACAACAAAGATTGAAACATATTATCTGCGATAAAATAAGTATAAAAAGTGATAATTCAGATTAAACGAAATAATTATAGAAATTGTTTTTTACAACTTTAAAAAATTTTTCTTTACTTAACAGTCATTTTTGTACTTGCCTGAGAAAACAATTTTTTTAGGTAAGAATTTTAACTTACTAAGCTTAAAAGGTGTGCTTTACAAAATTCAAGCAAAATAGATGCCAATTTTCAATTTTTTTATGACATTGTAGCCATAAAACTTTATCCCCAAATAAAGCGACGCTGTTACATCGTTAATTAAAGTTCTTATTCTAGAGTCTTCAGCTGCAAGAAAGAAACTCAATAATGTAAACTCAAAAATACTAGGATTTTTGAGATAAGTTTTTAGCCTACTATCTTACAAACATCTGAACAAGTGAAAGCTGTAGCATCTGAGCAACAGTAAGTTTTAGGATATTGATGAACTGTAGCGAAAGTGTTGCGGGCAACTGTCGAAGTATTCTTATGAAATCAATTGAAACTGAGATATTATTTGTGGTTATCTGCTGTCGTCATTGTTCATTTAGTACAGAAAAGTTCTAGTGAGATACTGCCCTGTAATTATATGTAATTACTAAATTTGAATATGTGGTTTATTCAGGAAAATTTGACGACGACAGTTTAGGAATACGTAGAAGACTCAATTCTGATTTTCAGAACTTAACTTCTTAGCTAACTTACTCAGGCATTTATATAGGTAGAATAATGATGTATACAAGCTGCTTTGATAATTTCTGTCGTACACTGTAATGTGACGAAAAATACAGTTTTAGGCGTTACACAATTACTCGCTGAAAGTTAGTTGTATTTTTCAGAAGTTTCTGTACTATCAGTTCATTACATTCTTGGTGATGACTCCATTAAACCCTTTGTATAGAGAAGTTAGAAGCTTTAACAGTAGCAACAGCTTTTATGAAACTATCAAATAGAGTTGGAGATCAACAATAATTAAGCAGATGCGTCAGATTTTGAAAGAATAGGAAGTTCCTGATATTTATCAAGCTTTGAGGCACGAAGCAGTACTCATTAGCGCTTTTATTTGACTGGTAAAACGCCTAGCACAGTGCGTCAAAACTGTTAGACACAACTCATATAAAACAACAGATCAAAGTGTTTCGATCTTCTGCGTCTTTTGATATCACCAACGAATACAGGGAAAAAGGTGCTGCAGTTTATGACTATTATTTTATTATAATATTTTATAACAGGTTGTCATCAGGCGCTTGGATGGAGAAGATAATTGAAATTTGTGGCACAAATATAAGTCGATCTGTGGATAAAAAATACTAGATGACTGCAAATTTCGTAGAAACACTTCAAATTTAAGAATGATAATGATATTGAAATTTATTAACCTAAGCAGTTCCTTAAAAAATCTGCATTTAATAGTTTGTTATTACAGACTTTTTAGCTGTTTTGTCACGTTGTATTAAATCATATTAGATAAAATTTCTATTAACTTTGCTCTGACACTACTGTAATCTTTTTTGTAGCTGGTACTTTTGTATGGCAGTTACATATACTTAAGCCATCATAAGCTTTAATTATTTGTCTTAACCTTGACTTTATCACTTGGCATCACTTTGTATCATAAAGTAAAAATTCATAAATATATCTTTCTTAGGTGACAACTAGTACTGTTTATTTACTTATCTGCAACCTACTTTATGCTTATAAGTAAAAAACTAAAAGTTATTCAGACTGCACCTAAAAGATAATTTTAAGTATGCTAAGGGAAACTGCAATATAATAATAGACCTTAAAAAATCAGTTTTATTTGTTATACTTTTAGGACTTTATTCGTTGACTAAAATTTTATCAGTTTAGTGCTTCTAAACGTGACTTTTATGACAGTGCAGATTTTAAAAAAACACGTTGAAAAGAAAACAGAAAGCTGTTACTGAACTAGCTGTATACGTCGGTGTTATCAACTTAAATAACCGTTAGTTTTTGAGGGACTGGCTTTTTGTCTTATTTTTTTTTTTTCAAATAGTTCCAAATAACGAAGTTTTTGATTGAAAATTTCAATTGAAAAAAGTACGGTCAGTTATATCTGCAATTCTGTTAGTAATTTAAAAACGATAGGTGAAGTGATAGCTTCTTATTCAGAACCATTAATTCAGCTCTGATCAGAATTTTTAAATGACTGTTTAAAAATGTTCAAACCGTCAAATTCACTAAAATTTGCGATTTTTGAGATATAAAATAAAAATTTTGTCAGTTTCTTGAGTGACAGTTAGATTCTTAAACAATATGCACATTTCAGCAAAAAAAAATTGTTTGAAGTGTTTCATAGTATTTCAGTGGATTAAGCGTCTATTTTGATGTCTTTCAAAAGTATCAAAAATTACAAAAACTTCCTGGTACTAACTGCAACAATGTCAATATGACTAACTGTTTCTAATCAAAAATTTTAAAATTAAACTTTTCAAAAAATGGGTTTTTTTTGTGTATTTCAGTCTTGAGACATGCAGTTTCATAGACTATCTAAGAGGTTTTGACAGCATCAACGACTGAACAGTACCTACCATAAACAATTTTAGACATTTAATAATTCAACAAAAATTGATGCTGCACCTGGAAATAAATAATGGTGCTATAAATTTCTCGAGCTTTTTGTCTCACTACACTTCTCTCCTTTCGTTCGCCGTGTGTCTGAGAGCAAAAAATAATTTTTAAAGTGCGATGCATTTTTTTTATAATTAATTCACCAAAACAGTATGGTATTTTAATGCTTTTTTTTTTCAGAAGGTCCTACTGATATGATGCTGTAGATGGAGACTTTGATATCTGTAAAAAAAAGTCTTCTTCTAAGAAGAACTTTATTATCAGGTTAAAACGGTGAGACATACTACGGTATACTGTTTAAGTGATAGACAGGAGAGCAGAGTGCAAAGTGTCATGTGGTTCCTGTAACTTGTTAAGGCTTTTCTTTGCAAGACCGGCTGCAAATAACAGCACTATATTTGCCTGTAACCTTACTGTTTTAGAGCACAACAGCGTAATTTATGTTACTGGGTCGATCGGAATCAACAGAATCAACGTTGATAACCCGATTTTTTTTATTCCTAATGTTCTCTTGCGATGCAAGTGGAATGGAAAAAACGAAAGAAAAAAGTAAACATGTTCAGGAAAGCAAGATGAAAATTAATCGTTTTCCGCTAATGCCAAAGCGTTTAAACCGACTTGAAAATACCTGTCTGCACTTTGTGGATGAAAAAATTTCAAAAAACGTTTTTAAATGTTCTAAAAAAAGTGGTATACAAATATTTGCATTATGCTAATAATATCTGCACTTTAAACAGTTTTCTACGAAAGACAACAAAATAGAAAAAGAATGCTACTTTAACTGAACATCAAAAAAAGCATTAACAAAATAAAATTGATGCTGTATAATGCGAAAGTTAAAAATACAAATTTTGAAATTTCACTTAAGCTTTGTACAAAAACCAAAATTTGAAGAAAGAAAAAAACACCAAAAATAAGAAAATAATGATGCAAAAATAACAAAACAATGTAATTCATTTGAATGAAAATGTAAAACTTCTTCTGTTCTTCGTTTTTTTCTTTTCCTACACACATGGCCAATATTTGGCTAATTCGTTAAATTGTAATGGGAGAAAAAAAAAGTCGAAGCAGAAACAAATAAATCAGAAGAAACAAAAAAAATTTTATTTTCACATAAGAAATTTTA